GGAAAAAGGGGCATAGGTGTCATAGGTCTGATTATTTTTAGTTGCTTCTTTTGTGACAAGATAACAAGAAACTTGAGTGTCTGTACTGCCTAAATTAGAATTATAAACCCATATCAAACATGAGGCTTCTCTTCAAATGCTTGATCACGTGTGTACATATGTACAAGAACAATAGCAAACACGCAAATTACTCTATATGCTAAAACAACAGTAGTATACCCAGACTTTATCAGCATGTTAATTAAAAGTACAAATCAAGATCTCAGATTGTATTGCTAGCTAAACATTTCACTGTACTCAAGAACCTTTTCTACACCAGCAGTTGGCTCAAAGCCCATCCTGAGAGTCTGTAGCTGCTGGCTCAGTACCATTGCTTCATTTCTGCCTATCTGTAGAAACTGTTTTTGTGGCAGATGGCTTTTTGTTCTTAAGATACAACTTTTCTTTTTATAATTGTGTAAAAAAAAAAAAAAAGGTCAGTCTTTGCATATACATGCTGAATTGCTCCTGCTTTCACATGTGCTATCATACTTGGAATTCCACCCATGCACTGCCAAGTCACTCCTACACTTGTATCCACAGTAGCCATCATGGTGGCACACAACTGAAATTATTTGCAGCAAGTGGAAATGCCATATACATGAAAATACTTCTTTGCTACTGTTTTAAAAATGCTGTTACAGAACCTATACTGTATATATAATATACTATATTGTAGCTATACTGTAGCTATAATAGATACTGGCAGGATATTGCATAACAGGTATGCTCGAAAACAGTAGGCAGACTCTAGACCATATATTTGCATCAATTACATGTTGGAACTGTACTAAGACTAAGCTAAACTACTAGAGGTCATTCTTAGTCCACAGTAAGAGTGTCCACATAGGGCATAAATGAGGAGTTGATAATGTGCTTTAAATTCATCCCTGGCTTACAGCACACAGACCTCTCCATGTACACAAGCTCCGAATCATGTAGATTATCTAGCAAATAGAATATTAGGAATCATTTAAAAAGGGACAGGGAATAAGATAGATAATTGTATTGCTTCTGTGTAACGCCATGGTACATCCACTTCTTTAATACTGCATGCAGATGTGGTTGTCTCATCTCAAAAAGATCTCTTGGCATTTGAAAATTCAGAAAAGGGCAACAAAAATGGTTAGGGGTTTGGAACGGCTGCCATATGAAGAGAGATTAGTAAGACTGGCTCATCTTAGAAGAGAGAAGACCAAGTAGGGGATATGATAATGTCTATAAAATCATGAATGATGTGGAGACAATAAATAAGAAAAAGTTATTTACTTGTTCCCATAACACAGGGCCAGGGAACCTCAGGCCTGGGGGCTGGATGTGGCCCCCAGCTTGCCTGGATCCAGCCCCCCAGGCTCAGGAGGAGCCCATGCTGGCGCGCCAGTCCCCCCACTGTCAGTGACCCTTGTCACCAAAAAAGGTTCCCCACCCCTGCCATAACAGAAGAATTAGGGGGGGTCACCAAATGAAATTCATAGGTATCAGGTTTAAAACAAACAAAAGGAAGTATTTCTTCACACAACATACAATCAACCTGAGGAACTCCTTGCCAGAAGTTATGAAAGCCAGGATTTTAACAGGATTTTAAAAAGAGCTAGATAAATTCATGGAGGATAGATCTACTATCCAGGATGAGCAGGATTGGTGTCCCCAGCTTCTGTTTGTCAGAATCTGGGAATGAGCAACACCTGGCAGTTCCCATTGTTGGAAGACAGGATACAGGGCTAGATGACCGTTGGTCTGACCGAGTATGGCTGGTAAGTTCTCTTCCCAACATAATATGTGACAGACTTTTGAGCATGTCTCTGGTGCAAGGATGCTAACATACAGTTTTCTCTCAGATCTTTTCAGCATCCTGAGTAGGGTACTGATACCTGATGATTTTTCTTGTCATTCCATTTGATGTTTTCAATTACTTTAGGGAGGAGACCTATTCGATGCTATCACTTCTTCAACAAAGTATACAGAGAGAGATGGCAGCGCAATGGTCTACAACCTAGCCAGTGCACTGAAATACCTCCATGGTCTCAACATTGTGCACAGAGACATTAAGCCAGAGAATCTGCTGGTATGTCACTGATTTTGTCATCCTTTCCATTGCCTCATCCCCCATAAATGTTTGTATGTGACTGTTAAGAAGCCGAGGAGCTGAACAGTCGCAGACCTAGAACCTGAATTTAGAATGAGTGCATACTTAAAATAAGACTTTGCATTAAATATTAATAGACACATGGAAAATGATCTGTGCTTAATGTGCACTCTATTTTCGACCCATCACTTACATTTTGATTGCTGGCTCTGACTTAGATAAACACAAAGCAGGGTTTAAAAATATGTTAATGAATTGTTTACAAATGTAGTGCCAATATAAAACAAGGGGTTTAATCTAGGGATGGTGAGTATCAGTTAATTAAGTAATTGAGTAGTTGGTGGGTAGGAGATGCTCCTGCTGTGGTTCTGCACTTTAAATGTAGTAAAAGCCCAGAGGACTCTTACTACATTTAAAGTGCAGAGCCGCAGTGGGGTTAGCTCCCAGGGGTGGCATGAGTTGGGACTGAAAAGTACCTGAGATCGCTGTGACTCTGCCTCCTCTTCCCCCCCTCCCTGCACCAAGCCGTCTCCCTGTAGCATTACCTCCTGCTCCCCTCCCAGCAACCTCTGATATAGGGACCACGGTGGGAAGTGTCTGGTCATCTACTCCCTCGACTACCCAATAAGCGTATGCTCATCAGGCAGTCAAGTAGTCACTGACATCCCTAGTTTAATCCCTTTCTGAAAATTCTAGGGTTATTTGAATAAAGGCTATGTCTATACTTAAAGCAAAATGAAAAGGTGGCCACAGCACTGATACACTGGCATGTTTTGTCACCAAAAACTGCCTTTTGTTGACAAAACAGTGAGAGCATACACACTACAATTCAACTTTTGTTGCGAAAACACCCAGTTTTGGTGACACAAACTTCCACATCTGCAAGAGACTTTTGTCTCTTCCCCTCCCTTTATTGTAGACAAAGAGCCAATGTGGACTCTGTTGTTTGTTTTGTCAAGAACTGGCTTCCGCCAGTATCCTACAATGCCTGCTCTGATAGCTGTGCTCAGTGTTTTGTGATTTCTGCTGCCCTCCAAGCATGCACCTCTCCCCTTACTTCCCAGAACTTTGAATCATGACAGCTGAATGAGCTGCTCCCATTTGGAGAACCAACAAAAAGAGAAAATCATTGGTATGCTCCCATTTTGCCCTGCTAGAAACCCAGGAGCAGGCAGACTGCTGCTGCAGGGGAAGACCGGAGAGGCTGCTGTGCTGCTTTGACATTCCTCAGCATGGAGAGCTCCCAGAGATACAGAACATTGTGGGAGAACTTAGAGAATCCCAACAAGTGCAGGAATCAGCTCTGTCTTCCCACAACACTGCACTGTGGGATGCTTACCCACATTGCTAGCTCCCTAGTCGACAGATAGAGCAAAACAATGTGGCTATGAAATGTCAACAATGGGAGACAGAAAAACCAGTTTAACTGTTTTCACTTTTGCCTGTTGACAGCACTTTTGTCTCCAATCCTTCCCAGTATAGAAATGGGGTTTGTTAGTTTTATTGTTATTGAGTATCCTTTATTTTATGCAAGTATTGCTATTCTGCATGGAGAACACTGATTTAAAATTGCATACTAAACATTACTTTGTGAAACCATTAGAATGTTGTATAGGTACTATGCAATCTAAATTAGTAGCAACCATTTAACAATAAGACCTGAAAATTTTCCAACCAAAAAAATACCCATGGCAACTATGAAGTAAGGAAGAGAAAAATAGAGGAGACCATGTTCTTGTCTTCAAGTGTATCTCAGAGCTTAGCTCATGCTAAGTTAATGGTTCAGTGTGCACAGTTTTAGTGGCAGCCTGTGGCATGTCATAGTTGATCCTATTCATTTAATAATAATAATGTGGCAACATCAGGATAGCGGACTGGTTGGAGCTCTGAGTCTACTCTGACATTTTAAGCCCTCATTAGTAAGAGTCAGGTATAAATAGAAACAAACACCCTTTTTGCCTCGAAAGCTTAACAAGATTACTCAACAGATACAAGTCTTATTCGTTCTGATTGACACTGGCATTCGTGTTAAGATAACATAATAGAATTGCATGTTAATGTAAATAATGTGTCAATTGCTTCTTTTACTAACCAGCAATTCAATTCTTTAACCTGAGATCATCCCATTGTCTGATTTTCATTCTCTTTACCAGTCATGTGCTCCTAAATGCAAACTGTCTCTCATCATTGACATATGTGAAGTTACATCAGACAGCACAAAGATTTTCATTAGAGCTGTAAATTATAGCAGGGCAGTGATTTATCAGTGTTGTTCAATTGTTTGAAGAAGTGCAATGATAAATGCAACTTTTGGTGGTGAAGCTGGTATCAGGTACTCCAGCAACATCTGTTTAAATCAAAATGTAGAAATTTTACTTTGAGATCAAAACCTAGATTGATTTGTTTTTAATAGGTCTTCATTGCTTGGGTCTCTTTGGTCATATGTACACATTAGCTTTGATTTATTTAAACAACATGCAGACATCAAAAGCAGCTCATAAAACACCTAGAAACACGCATTTTTCAGGATGCCTAAATCAGAAGGCCAACATTTAGGAGCAGAGGAGTAATCTGACCATGTGTTATCTTCGCATGTATATAACCTGTAATCAGACATTTGCTGAGTTAATCATAACCTGCATAAAACCATCTTAATTATTACTAAAACAATCAAATTTAAACTCTGAGCTTTACCAGTTGCAAGTAGATTGCAATTTCCTCTAATTTATTCCAAAGTTCTGAATATTTTTAAACTATATATTTTTCCTAGCTGATAATTAAGAGCTAAATCATGTCCTAGACCAACACAGCCATGCAAAACATGAGTGGTAGCAAGATAGCCTCCCTAGACACTAGCTTCCAGCTACATGGGGTAAACAGGTGCCATCCCTTGTCCTCTCTGGAGCAAGCAGTCATGTAGTGGCAGTCCCAAATGCATCAGAGAGTACTGCTGATCCGTCCTGCAGATAGTAATCTGTTACTGATAAGGGCCAGAGGAATAATGGAGAACTGGGAAGGGGGGGCTGGCTTTTTGTGCTGCTGACGCAATGGTGCAGCTATGCACTTTCACAGGGCATGTTGTTCATACATGTTCCAGCCAGGAGTTTAAGAGCCTTTAGAATACTATTAAAAGGCTCAGAGCCACTTCCTGTTCCTTCCTTGCTACAGTCAGCTCCCAATGTTAGAACCAATTTAGGTGCCTTACATTTTTCTTGTAATCGTTAGTAAATTTTGGTAAATTTTAAAAATAAAAGTAGTTTAGTGAAATTTGGTGAGTTCACCAAATATTAACGTTTTTTCCCCAACAGTATTTATTCCAATTTGGAATCTAACTGTGCTTATGTCTCTCATGTTCATTTTGCTATGGAAATTCATGTACTCACACAAGGTTATCATCAGAGAGACTCCTTCAATCACACTCTTATCACCATGGGGCTTGTGTGACGGATCGTAATTCAGACATAGAATACTTGTAGCAAGCTGTTTCATAGAATAAGGAAAAATCACAATAGACATCAGAATAATTTTAAACAACATAAAACTGAGGAAATGGCCAACTAGGTCCAGAGGTGAAAGTAAGGCAGTATGGGCTGGTAAAAGCTGGCTAGTGTGCTCAACTGCAGAAGGAGGTGGCACGCTCCCAGTTGGGCTTCCGGAGATTCCTGCAGGCTGCCATGCTAAGCACCAGGCAAGTAAAAGAGGCTGGGGGCACACCACACACCAGTCCAGGACTGCTTGAGTTCCCCTACCCTCCCTAAAGGGCACCCATGCCCTCTACACACCTCCCCACTCCAACCCTCTGCCCTAAGACACCTAGCCCCTGCCTGATTCCTGTACCCCTCCATATACCCCTCCTAACTCTGTTCTGAGCACCCATCTCCCTGCCCTGACTCTCTTCACATGTTCACACCCCTCAACCCTTATTCCTGCACCACCCCAACCCTGACTCTTGCATGCTCCCTCCCAAGCTCCTCCCTGAGCCCCCTGTACTCCACTCCACACTGGGGAGGTTAGAGATCATGTAATTGAATAGTTGTGTAACTGCATAAAATTTTAGCAGTTACATGACTATTCAATAGTCCTTGGGGGGGGGCTGGCAGCCAGTGTGCTCCTGGCCACCCAGTGATGCTGCCTACATATTAGAGGCAGCAGCATGGGCTGGCAGACAGGAGCTGGTCCATGAGGAGAGCCACTGTAAAAACCGAACCATGGGACCTGGTACGAGCTGGAACTGAGCCAGGCTGCCAGCCCACCTGGCTCCTAATACACTTTAAATGCAGAGCTGCAGGAGGGGTAGGTCCCAGACCCATCGCGAGCCAGGACTGAGCCCGGCTGCTTTATTAGAGGCAGCAGCAGTGGGCGGGGGCAGGGGGTCCTGGGGAGCTTGTGATGGGGGAACTGACTTTTATGCTGACTCCCGCTGCTGCTTCCCCCCACTGCCTCTGTAGGAGGCACCAAGGTGGGGTGCAGGCAGGTCAGTTGGAGCCGATACACATGGGCAGCTGGCTTGAAAGCAGGCTCTCCATATGTATTGGCTCCATTAGAGGCAGCAGCAGTGGGCGGGGGCAGGGGGTCCTGGGGAGCTTGTGATGGGGGAACTGACTTTTATGCTGACTCCCGCTGCTGCTTCCCCCCACTGCCTCTGTAGGAGGCACCAAGGTGGGGTGCAGGCAGGTCAGTTGGAGCCGATACACATGGGCAGCTGGCTTGAAAGCAGGCTCTCCATATGTATTGGCTCCATCCTGCTCCCTTTATCCTATGTGCTGCTCCTTGTCTATCCAAGACAGCAGCACAGGGATGGAGAAGGCAGGCAGATCTGGTGCTTGTTGGGAGTCACTCCTCCTCCCCCCTTCTGATCACCGGGGGAAAAAAGCATGCTTGTTCAACTGAAAAGGACTATTTTGGAAAACAAAGATATATCTTTAAACCTCTAACAAATAATGGGTATTTTTTTAAATAAAATGCCCTTGACAATTTAC